TTCGCAGATTCCCATTACTGGGAATGCTCTGGCTGCGCAAAAGAACTTTTGTTTTGCAAAAGGACTAATGTCCCCCCTTGCTCTTCCAACTTCCATGCAATCATGGGCAGTGGGTATCACAGCCCTGTGTGGCCCCGCCCACGCTCCGCCCCCAGACCCACCTCCTGCTTCCCATCAGCGCTCGGCACTCTTCCTCTGTGGTCGGGCTGGGGCTAGGGGGCCAGCCTGCGGCCAGGGAGTCCGGGCGGCTGGAGCCGGTGCTCACACCACGCGGTGCTGCGGAGCTGGGAGCTGCACCGCCCAACCACCCAGGGCTCCGGGACAGGAGGCACTCGGGTAGCCCAGGGCTGGGGCGGGAGTGGGGAGGTGGCTCTGGTGGAGGAAGGGGGTGGGACCTCAGGCAGAAGGGGTGGACCAAGCCGGGAACTAGCCTCCCTCAGCCGGCGGTTCACACGCCACCCATGCATGCAACATGGTTTGCGGACAACCTACAAACACTGTCTCCTTCAAAACTATTTTAAATCTTTCTATATTTACTCAAAGTGAGTGTGAGAAGCTTAGGAGTGTGTGTGAAAGGGAGCTAGTCTGCTAATGAGAGAGTCTCCCAGCCAGCGAGTGAGACTTGACATGTCTGAAACTTTCCTGTCCGTTCTTTCCCTTCAGCACCTACCTGGAGGCAAAGCCGTCCGGGATCAGCCGCTCCTCCCAGCCCTGCAGGACCCTGGGGCCGTGCATTGGGACCCCCGGGGCGTGGCGAGGTCTGACCGGAGCCCCCGGGAGGCAGGTGGAGCAGGAACGCCCGGGCTCCCCCGCCCCTGGTGCCGTGCAGCATGGTCCTACGCGAGTCTCCGTTCCCGAACCGGCTCCTGAGCGGCCTGTACAGCCTGGGCCAGTACCTGCTGTTCCCCAGCTACTGGGCCACTGACTGCCTCCTCGACCTCAGGGAGACCACGGCGGAGCGGCAGCAGAACCGGCGCCAACGTCAGTGCTGCCCCTGCTGCCCCCTGCGGGCACTGGTCACCGGCCCCTTGCTGCTGCTGCTGCTCATCCTCTCCATCCCCTTCGCCCTCCTGGGCCTGCTGCTGTGGCTCCCCCTTCAGGCTGCCCGCAGGCCCTTTGCCTACAAACACAACCTGCTCTCGCGCCATCCAGAGGTGTGGGAGCTGCCGGGCA